TTATACACTTCAAAAAAATGCTGCAATTTTTATAAAGATGAAACAATTATATAAAAAAACCTAAGCAGTTTATGATCTACACCCTTACCTTTCCTTTTTTCTTAATCTCTAAACCAGGAAGTTTATCATTTATTTCACACACACAAAAACATACCTAAAATACTTTCATTGTTCTCTACTAGCTTTCAACTTAAAGCTGCTCACATTACTGAGTCTCAGAGGTGGATTAAAAGACCTGTTTTCAGGTTTGTTTGTTTTTGTTTTTGTTGTTTTGTTTTGTTTTGTTTTTTTTGGTACTGGGGATTGAACTCAGGATCTCGTGTTTACCAGGCTGGTGCCATACTGCGGAGCTAAATACCTGGCCCAAATATATTTAGCTTTGTTTTTTGGTACTAGATATTGAACTCAGGGCCTCCCATCACTGAGCTACATCCCCAGCCCTCACTGATTTTTATTAGAGGCCAGTTTGAGTACATGTAAACATTTAGTAATGTCTTTTATCCATGAATAAGTAGCACGTTCCTTATTTTTAGAATTTGCAATTCAACTGTCCAATTAATTGTTACAAACGAAACCTTATAAACTAAGCAATTTCTAAACCAATAGTAAGCTAATTAAATTTCCTCTCCTATCCAAAAGAAAATGTTTATGAAATTTAAGAATCCACAATATCCCAATCTTTTTCAAACTATAAAATTAGGTATTCTGCTCCCAACTGTATAACATAGCCACAGTCATGTTTAGAGCTTTATTAAAATTGAAATATATATTTTAAACATTTCAAATTTAACTAAAAGGAAAAAGACTAATACTTATAGTTAAAAAAAATTTTTAGGGCCAGGGATTTAGCTCAGTGGTACAGCACCTGCCTCACAAGCACAAGGTCCTGAGTTTCATCCCCAGTACCAGGTAAAAGGAAGAAAAAAAAATCAAAATATATTTTTATAGGGCCAGGGATTTAGTTCAGTGGTTTCACCACCTGTCTCACAAGTGCAAGGTCCTGAGTTCAATCCCTAGTACCAAAAAACAAAGAGAGTCAAAAAATAACATAATTTTAGTATTTTTATTAATGAATTTTAAAATGAGCAAATTTTATTAACAGTGCCCTCTAGTGGTATTATAAAGACAGGTGTTGATATAACTGTTTTGTTAGTATTCTGAGTTCCATGGAGGACGCCAAGTAAGATGAGAAGTGGCATCACCTTCCATCCCCTCCCCTCCTCCTTCCTTTTTAAAAATTTTATTAGTACACTTTAGATATACAGAATAACATTCATCATAGGGAATTTGTACCTGTACATGGTATATCTTACTTTTTTTCTCACTCCCCTCCCCTCCTCCAAGCCCTCTTTTTATTTACAAGGTTTGTTTTGTTTTTTTCCTTCTATTCTCTATAACATTTAGATTCTCTTTCTTTAAATGTGAGCTCTCTCCACCTACACACAAATCTCCCAGAAAACTTGTTAAAAACACAAATTCCCTGCAGTACAAAATGACTACAGAGGGTTGGGGATTTAGTTCAGTGGTTCCGCCACCTGCCTCGCAAGTACAACGACCGGAGTTCGATCCCCAGTACAAAAAAAAAAAAAAAAAACAGACTATAGATATTTTTATTTCAGTAAGTCTAGGTTAAGACCTAGAATTTTGCATTTTTAACTAATCCCATAGCTGAAAAATACTGGTTTTGTAAGGGAAAGGAGCCTGTAGGCAAATAAAGAACAAAATAAGAGCCTCATTAGTCTTCTAGCTAACCCTGACTAAGAGTTAAAAAACTTTACTAGAGCACTTCCCCTGGGAACAATTTCAAGGATTGGGAAAAGAGAAAACCCAGATAAAGAAAGGCACCAAATGACACTGGGATTTATACCGAAGGACCAGGGAAAAAGCTGAGGGCAGAGAGATGGGAGGCTAACTAACAATGGGAAAAGCTCTTACTAACTTAATGTTTTGTTTTGTTTTTTCACTCTAGGATCACTATATTAACACAATAGATGCCCCTCACTAACTTTATGCTATCCATGAATAAGGCACCTCCTTGACAACGAGCTGCCCACCTGGAGATAAGGCCTTGTCAAGGACAAACAGACAGAAAGATGCCACAGAAGAAAACCAAAAGAAATGATGTAGACAAGGGTGCCCAGAAGTCAACCAAGTTACAGCAAGTTCAAGGTGGAGGAAGGGCCTCTGCCCCCACCTATAATGGAGGCTGGAAACAAAGGACCCATGGATCCTCTGCCTTCCCAAGTCCCCTACCCTGGTCTTTATCAGGGTAGCTATCTATCTTCTCCTTTTCACCCCTTTCCAAAAAAGTCTCTTCCTTTCTACTCTTTGTGTCGTTAATTCATCACTAGTACTGAGTTTACTATCCCAGTGAGCTGCTCAGATAGCGAAGCAGCAGTACTCATTCCTGGATGTGCCAGTTTGACTATGAATGACACCTTACCAAGGCACCGTAATATGGGAAGGTTATTACTATGCTTGTTTTATGGATGAAAACTGAGGCTCAGAATAGCTTTAATAATTTATCCTAGGTCACATGCTAAAAGGTAACAGAGCCACCAACATTTTCTTATTACTGGGGTTATGGAACCTTACAAGGAAAAAAAGATAACAAAATGTCATCAGCCTTAAAATGCATGTAATGATTTATTTCAAATATAGCTTATCTAAGTAGTACATGCTGTATCTTTCCAACCCTGGCTCCACAATCACCACTTGGGGAATTGGTAAAAATGCCAATGCCCAAGTCCTCTGTAGGTAACTATAATCTGTCACCAGCACTGAATACCACCTAGGCCAGTGATGCTCAACCTTTACTCTATACAGAATTACCTAGAGGATACACAGGGCTGGGTACCATGTGTCGTTTCTGATTCAGTATGTGTGGAAGGGCCTGAGAATCTACATTTAACAAATTCCAGACACACCACACTCTGAAAACTACTAGATAAGTATAGTGGATAGCAGTTTTCAACTTTGCCAATATATTAGAATTTTCTGAAGAAAAAAAATTTTTTTTGGTACCAGGGATCGAACTTGGGACCTTGTACTTGCAAGGAAGGCAGAGGAACCATTGAGCTAAATCCCTGGCCCCTCTGAAGAAATTTTTTAAAGTTGGGCCAGGGGTAGTAGCTCATACCTGTATTCCCAGCACTTGGGAGGCTGAGACAGGAGGATCCCTGCAAGTTTGACGCCAGTATGGACCACACAAAGAGCTCAAGACCAGCCTAAACTAAACAACATAGCAAGACCTTGTCAAAGAAAAACCAATCACTCATTCATTCACTTAATCAATCAATCTTTCGGTAGCCAAACACATCCCAGACCAATTACTTCAGACTCTGTGTGGAGGACGCAGGTATCAGTATGTCTTAAAGCTTCTAAAATTAAAAAGGTCTTTCTACAACATACATTTTTAAAGCACTAATACACCCATATATTTTTTTCTCCCCCAAAAGTAGTATAGTACACAGTATTTCCAAAGCTTTTAGACTAGAAACATTTGTTATGACTCATAATTTATAGCCTTCTATAGGGAAGTACTCACCTACCGGTTAAGTGAAACTGCTTTGTATGTCCTATGAGAAATTCTCCTCCAGTCTCTTAATTCAGCCTCATCTTTTGCCAGACCCTCCATTCCTGCACTGCATGCATCCCTAGTAATAGCTCTCGACTGCATTTACAGTAGTTCCCTTATCTGGGATTTCACTCTCCACAATTTCAGTGATCCAAGATTAATATAGTAAGATATTTTGAGAGAGACAGCATTCTCATAACCCTACTAACAGTATACAGTTACTTAAATTTTATTACTTGTTAGCACTGTTAATCACTTACTGTGCCTAATTTACAGATTAAACTTTGTCATAAGAAAAAAGCACAGTATACATAAAGTTCATTATTGTTTGTGGTTGCAGGAATCCACTGGAGGTCTTGAAATGTAGGCCTGCAGAAAAGGGGGGCTACTGTATCCATTTTAACATGACTGCATTATCTCTATAAGCTGTCTGGAGTCAAAGTTTGCATAGCTAATACTCCATAGATATTTACTGAATGATTAAAGACAAATTTATGTCCTTACCTTTTTTTAGAAAAGGTATTGTCATGCATGACTTTTAATGCAACCTAAATTGAACAACTGATTTAACATAACTATTTCATAACGATCATAAGCAAGGCATTCTTATTTAATAGTTAAGTTATAAAACGATTATTAGTACTTACAGGTAACACCTATGTTAGAATCCGATATATTTCAGTTCATTAATAATTTAAAAATAACAAAAGGCTTGAATTATTTTTCATTCCAAAAAAATCACTTAGGCCAAATACGAGCCAAAGAAATAAAAATGCTTTCTATATGTTAATAATGAAATTAAGTTTCTAAAAATCATTAAAGACAAAAGAAAAAAAAGACCATTTGGAAATTCCAAGTTTCTCAAACATGGACATAACAGTCCAGTTTTTTTTTAAAGTTTATAAATAATTACTTTTCTGTTAGCAAGTTGCATATCTAATTCAAGTAAAGTGATCCTAGTACATACCCATACAACTACAAACTTTAGAATTATCCTCTTTAGAATCATGAAAGAATTTGCTTTAAGGCTATAAAGGTGCCAGAGAACATTCTATAACTTCCTAGAACTATATAAAAATAAAGACAAGTACTTAAACATGTGTAACTCTCAAAGCATCTTAAGACTATGTTGCTTCTCACAATATATTTCAGTTTGTAGTACTGACTAACAGAAATTCAATCATGTTAAAAATATTGTATTTGCCTTAAAAGGACAATAATAAATATTTTAACATATTTATTCTCCAGAAAGGAAAAAAGTAAAAATATTCTTGTGATGCAAGTGAGATACAGGATAGGGATTTATTGCAGGGGAGGGAGAAGTTTATAAAACTAGCTGGAACACTGCTAGCAACTCTTAAAAAAAAAGCTGATAAATCTAGAAGAAAGGTGGAAAGTAATATAAAAATGAAGCTTTGTTCACCTCTGAATTCCTTCAAGAATATCTTTTACAGCTGCCATTAACTTTTGAAGATACATAAATGCTTCTTCAAATGATGCTATTTTTGAAACAGTCAGAGCTGAATTTGAGTTCAATCTTTGAAACACATCCGTGCTAAAATAGAGGGGAAAAAAAAAGAAATGATACTTACACATATACATGCACATTAAATTTTTCCACTGTATAAAATAAAATAAAATTAATTTCTCATAATTATGATCTATTTAAGTTATAAGTAAGATGGCGATAGGAAAGGTTGAGGCTAATATTTATGCAAGGAATCCAGATCCGGCTCTACACCAAATCTAAAGTGATACTGTAAAAACTGTGTGGGGCCAGGGATGTAGCTCAGCGGTGTAGCACCTGCCCAGCAAGCACGAGGCCCTGGGTTTGATTCCTGGTACTAAAAAAGAAAAGTGGGGGGAAAAAAAAACAAAAACAAAACTGTGTGAACACTTTTATTCTAAGAGATCATTAGAGATAGAAAGACTGTAATATTATCAATCTGTATTCGAGTCAGTCCTCAAAGATAGAAGGATGAGCTTGTCAATTAAAACTGGAAGCTTAGCCTAGTAATTCCACTTCCAGAAATCTAGCATAAATTAATAATTATTCACAATCAGCCAACAATTAGTAACATATCAAGTGTCCAACACTATACAAATGTTAAGTAAACAGTGAATTAGCCACCTGATGAAAAACCAAACCATTAAAATACTCTTATGCCATGTAAACAGAAAAAACATAGAATATTTAACTATTTTAGCCACAATATTAAAAGCCAAACATGCTGTACTGTCAAAGTTATCTTCCCAAAATTCGTGTTCACAGAGAATTTCAGAATGTGATTTAATTTGAAATAGGGTCTTTAAGATGTAATTGTTAATTTAAAATGAGGGCTGGATTAGAGTAGTTCCTAAAAATTGTAAAGTCAGAGATTGGAGTGATACAAGGATTGCTGACAACCACTAGCAGACAGAATGGCATGGAATAGATTCTCCTTCAGAATTTCCAGAGAGAATCCAACCCTGCAGACACTTGGATTTCAATTTTTGGCCTCACAACTGTAAGCAAATAAGTACATGTTTTAAATCATCCAGTTTACTGTGATTTGTTACAGCAGCCCTAGGAAACTAACACATATGCCTAAAAACAAAACTGGGTATACATTATTATTAATATACAATGTCCTAAAATGTGATAGTTGAATCTTTTAATCTCAGATTTCTCATATTATTAGAGCTAAAAACAACTGCTAAATATCAGTCTTGTAGAAATTGAAAAATGCTTTCCTCACTACCATAAAAAATCCTCCAAAACAGTAGTCTTAATGTTACATGTTCATATTTATAACTTCTGTTATGTTGATGGGAATGAACTAGTAAAAGTCAACTCAGGTATTAATACCAGCTATGAGCATGCTGTAAGGCCTAATGTAAAAGAACAAAATAAGAATGTACAGCAAAACAAAACATACTTCTGTAAGAGGGAAACATGGGAAATCTGCAGAAATAGATTAATAAATGTTTTACTAAAGGAAAATGTATTTTAGTCAATAAAACAGCATGTACTATATTACAGAATATTAAAATATTTAGCTTAAAGTAAAATTTATAAAAAGTTTATTTCTGAAAAAAGATGTAGGTCAGCTGGGCATGGTACTACATTCCTATAATCCCAGCACACATGAGGCTGAGGGAGAAGGACTACAGGTTTAAGGACAGCCTGGGCTACATACATAGAGTTCAAGGCCAGCGATGGACTACATGCTGAGTCCTTGTCTCAATAACCTCACATCCTGTTCCCACTGCATGTGCCACCAAAAAAAATTTAGGTCAACTGCTTAGAGCCAAAGCAAGAGAAAACATCTAAAAAACCATTTTCATTCTGAGTCAGCTATTGGCAACATATAATCTAAATCTTTAGATAACCCCCCTTATTTTTTTGACACAGGGTCTTGCTGTGTAGTTCAGGCTGGCCCTGAACTATGTTACCCAGTCTGGCCTCAAACTTATGGTGATCCTCCTGCCTCAGCCTCCCAAATGCTGGGATTACAGAAATGAACCACAATGCCCAAGTTTAAGTAAAACTTCGGTAAAATTTTTTCACGTCTTCTTACTATTGAGCTAGTAGTGCCTGGGAGAGGTGAATGAAATATTTTTAGGAAAAAGACAATGGAACTAAACAATAAATATCCCAAACTCATGAAATTTCTGAATAAGTTAGATGCAGAGCTAAAGATCATCTAAATCTATTCTCTGATTTTAGATTAAGAGAACTGAGTTTCAGGAAGGCTATGACTTTCCCAGTAACTGTCTTTATGTTCCATAAAAACATGGTTGCATTTATTAAGGAAAAAAGCTTTTCGTTCAAACGATTTTTATACACAAAAATAACAATATACAAAAATAGATTAAATCAATTTTAAAGATCTTCTAATATGTCACATTTATTTTATTATCATGTCAGTGATTAAAAATCATGAAGAGGTTTTAAAAAACATTTCAAATCAGTTACAGCTGCAATCTATTGTCACTCATTAAATTGAAGATTAGATAAATTATTAAATTGGTTAGTGAGTAGTCAGTTTATAAAAAAAATTATTATTCAGGGCTGGGGATTTAGCTCAGTGGTTCCGCCACCTGCCTTAAAAAGTACAAGGTTCCGAGTTCGATAATTGGTACAAAAAAAAAAAAAAAGTTTGGGCCTGGGATTTAGCTCAGTGGTTCAACTGCCTGCCTCGCAAGCACAAGGACCTGAGTTTGATCCCCAGTACCAAAAAATTAAAAAATAAAAAATATATAAACCATCCAATAAACTGTCAAAAGCAATCTTTTTTGGGACCAAGGCTTGTAGCTTAGTTGTAGAGTGTATACTCAGAAAGTGTAAGGCACTAGGTTCAATTCCTAGTACCAAAAACAAACAAAAAACTAAGAAAAGAGAAACTTCAAAAATTTCCTTTGCCTTCACAGCATTAATAAAGTTCTAAGTCACAAAATAAAAGGTGATGGAAAAAAGCAAGACGTTTTAATTATAGTTCACAATGAATCTCAAAGATACGTATTTTTAAAAGTCTCAGAAGCTCACATGAAAAACAGCAGGAAAGGCTTTTTTGAATTTGAATCAGTAATGGTCGCTAGAACTTATCCAAAATCCTTATAAACAGAAATATCAAAAACCTGATCTGATGTGCCATAGGTTCACAAATGATTATTAAACCAGGGATAAGAAGATGGCATTAACAGTCGTATGTAAGCACACTAGCTAGCGATTTTATGAGTAACCATGCATAGACTTATTGGTACCAACTAGGCATGAGAAAAAAATGAAGTAGTCTTAAGTAAATATGCACAGATAGGGCTAAATAAACATTTTCTACTGACTGAAATGCTATTATATGGTCTATTAACCAGAAACACATAATTCTCTAGTGTTCAATACAAACAGAGATATTACATAAAGTATTCAAATGCTTTCTAAATTAAAGAAAAACTAAAGGATCTTATATATGGTTTTAATATATTTTATTCTAAAAGTAGTATTCCCTGACCAGTAATATATGGTAACTTTCTGCTAGCCAGAATATTCTGATCAGTCAAACCTTGAAAAAATGTAAAGACTAGAAAAAAAACAAATGAAATTATTTCCTTTACACATACAAATTTTTAAATATTGTCTTCCTTAGATGATTTGCCAGATAGTTATTTCTTTAATATGACAGGCCACAAAGCTAGCTGATAAGTTATTTGTTGGAAAAAAAAATTTTAATCATAGTCCAGGACTAAAATGAGCCACAAATCTACAATGTTGTAAGAGATAGCCTCTTGAGAACAGGTGTCTGAACAGAGTGATATTATGTACTCTGCTGCTTTTGTGAATATCTATCTAGAACAAATAGATTATCTCACTGCGCTGGACTCGTGAACCAAAAATACTATATGCCACTTGCTTGGTAAATTATTTATATAAAGATTATGGGCTTAGGGGAAAGTATAAGATGGGGGAGAGTGGGGTTTATCTACTTTAAAATCAGTGATTCTAAGTTTTTTTTTTTCAGCTACTATAACAACAGTCTGTTTTAAAAAAGTATTCACAAATGGCCCCTCTATCATTTTACCATTTTATGTTTATGTGACCAAAGTAATAATTTTTCCTTTGAAACAAAAGTATTTATCTTCCTTTAAAAAAAATCTTACATGAACTTTTATTTTCAATTTTATCAAGGCCTTGCACCCTAAACTGTTTAGCTAATCCAGGTGACTTTTCACTGGTTTTGACATATACACAGGTAATGCCTCTCAACAAGCTTTCATATCTGAATCAAAAATTTGAGAGGTTTTGTTCTTTTAAATGCACTGTCCTCTTAAGCTCATTCCTACTGAGTTAGAATTTTTAGAGATAGAGCTTATGCATATATTTTTAAAATTTCCTATGCAATTCTGACAAGTCCATCTATTTAAGTATCAGTTTCCAAAGTGAAATTTGACAAAAGGCCCTTAAAATGTGACAATCTAGTGCATTAAACTCAAACATAAACATTAACTGTTCAATGAATAATAACAGAAATTCTAAAGAAAACAAGTTTGTAACTCTATAGTTAAAGAATACTTGGAAATGTAGTACCTGTTCTGATATATTGTAATCCAAACATTCTCTAGGACAGACCAGATTTCTTGATGCCTGTTGGACTGGGGAAGATGAGAACCCAAGAAAACAGTGGTTTCTTGGTTATGAGACTTCACCAGAGGAGTGTCTTCCTGCATTTTACTCATTACATTTTCTGAAGAATTTGGCTTAAATTTTGTCTTGACCTAGGGAAATAAGTATTTTAAAATGCAGCTATTCCTTCACTAAGTGAGAAAAACAGAATATCAACGGTGTTTACAAAAGTGTGAACTTTCTGGAAAGTGCCAGCTACTACTTTTCTTGTATTATGCACAGAATATTCCCAGAAAAGCATAAAAAATATCAAAAATATTTTCCACTGAAAGCAAATTACTTCCAATCTATTTATTACAGTGACTTTTTTAGCTAATATGACAATGTCTGAGAATGCTACGTGAAAATTTTTACACATGTGGTACATAAAACTAAATGGAGTCAAGCTCTAAGAACCTCAAAATAGGAAAAAAAAAGTGGAAAAGGCTGAAAAGAGATGTAAAGAGTGAGGATTTAATTTAAACTTTATGTTTCTATGTTGGGAATCATTCTGGTCCCATGATGTTGTGATGCTCAAAGGCAAGACTATATCAGCATAATCCTGTGAACTCAAGATTATCGCCACCCTCTGAGACATGTGATACTCCCTATGAATCAACCTAATAAATAGTGGCAAGCTCAGAGCATCTTTCTCTGCCTTTGCCCGCTCTGATGCTCTGACCTCGCAGCCCCCCATATACTTTGAAATTACACAAGTCTCTATCATCTTTTTTAATTTAGCCCTCACCATCCCTCTTTAGAGGCAGTCAATGGATTGACAGGCTTTCAATTTAATTGAGCAACAATAAATTACCACTGAAGATTTCTAATTTAGGTAGTGTTATACTCTGAATACTACAACACAATGGAACAGAAAAGTGTAAACAAAAAAGACTGGTTAGCAAAGCACTGGATAATCCAGAAGTTCTGAACACTTGAATTATGGATCAAAAGAAAGTAGAATTCAGAGGCTGCATACAATAAATATTTTTAAGAATTTGGCCAAAAATTATAAGCCGGGCATGGTGGCGCACGCCTGTAATCCCAGCACTCAGGAGTTTGAGGCATGAAGAACGCTGAGTTTGAGACCAGCCTGGACTACATAGCGAGTTCCAGGTCAGTCTCAACTACATAGTGAGACCCTGTCTCAAAAAACCAAAAAAAAAAAATTAATTTGGCCAAAAATTATAGATTGAAGGAGTGAGGAAGATCCTAAGATTTTTTTTTTAACCAACAAGCCAGGCGTTGGTGGTACGTGCCTATAATCAAAGCACTTGGGAGACTGAGGCAGGAGGATCAACTCAAATTCAAGGCCAGCCTGGGCTACATATAGAAGGAAAACGAAAAGTTATATTTTTTATCTAAGTAAAGATACCTAGCATGTACCTATAAATGCCAACCTGAGGCTTGAGAATAACTCTCATGAAAGCAAGTCTTAGTAAATGGGATTGTTAGGGGAGAATATAACATTAAAAAATAGAAGGTAATGAATAGAAAAAATGAATGGGGAAAGGTAAGAACTAACAAGAACAAAACAGGAAAGAATTAGAAGTTTATAACAGCAACAGAGGATATAGGTTTGAGGAAATAAGATGGTACAGAATGGCAATAGCATGGCTCATAAAAACTAATAATAGAAGAGGCCTGCTGTGGTGGTGCATGCCTACAATCCCAGCACTTGGGAGGCTGAGGCAGGAGGATCACTGAAAGTTCAAGGCCAGCCTGGGCTACACGGTGAGTTCAATGCCAGCCTGGAATACAGAGTGAAACCCTGTTAAAATAAATAAGCAAACAAACAAAAAAATAGATCTAAGCATATTTTATGTCAAAATAAATGAGATACATAAGCCAGGCATAGTGGCTGATGTCTGTAATCCCAGCACTCAGGAGGCTGAGGGAGGAGGATTGCTAGGAGTTCAAGGCCAGGCTAAGCTTCATACAGTGGACCCTCAAGTTACAACTAGCCTGACATTTGAACAACTTGGGTTAATTAGGTTAATGGAAGATTCATCTGCCTCTTGTTATCTATAGCATGTACCCAGGTAAAAATCCAGAACTCAGCTGTACTGACTTATAACCAAATTAAATTATAACTAGCTCTTGGGAACCAATTGAGTTCACAGGTAAAGGGTCTACCGTAGTAAGTTTAAGTCTGAACTACACAGTGAGACCCTACCTCAAGAAAAAAGAGAGAGCAATGACTCAAGTAATTATTTTTTAAAATATCACTCAATAAAATATTAATAGGTTAAAAATACTGATAGAATGGCAAAAATTATGAGTTTAAAAACTTAGTAAAATCTCTCCATTTCACTAGGATTAAATTTACATGCTCTTTAAAAAGATGATTTTAAAGGTTAAACTTCATGGGTTGTTAACTTTATGCTTGTTAAATTGAAAAAATAAAATGTCCAATGCTGTAAGTAATAAGAGTTAATATTTATGAGAATTTATTATGTACAGGAGCTTTGTCAGGTTTTTATATTTACTAGCTCACTTAATACTCATAAGTGCCCTATGAAACATACTATGACTATCCATACTTTATAATGGAGAAAACTGAAGCATACAAAGGTCAAATAACTCATCCAAGGTTACTCAGAAGTAAGAGGCATAAATAGAATTTGACTCTTGGCAATCTATAAATGAGGTTATGGTCTCCAACTGTAAAAGTCTAATTTCTGGGTTAAAAAGACCCAGATGGGAGGATCCTTTCCATTTCTGCCTTTTCATATTAAACTATGAACTTTTTAAATATAAATGAATGGAAAGGCATATGTGTTTCTGTCCTAAGAGAATTTTATTTTTATGCAGTGCTGGGGAATCACATGGCATCTTACAAATGCTAGGCAAGCACTATCAATGAGTTACCTACTAGCCTAGATATTTTTTTTAAATCACCATACACATCTAAAATAAAAGCAACAAGGCCAGGCAGGGACGGTTAGCTCAGTGGTTTTGCTGCCTGCCTTGCAAGCTCAAGGAACTGAGTTCGATCCCCAGTACCAAAAACCAAAAAAGATAAAAGTAGCTTACACCTAAGGCTTCTTTTTTTTGGCTTTTAAATAAGAGTATATACAATAAGCAACTGAATGATTTTTAATCAAACATTTATATAGCACTCATTACTTACTATGCACTAAGGTCTTTATAGATTTTTATTTATTTAATTTTCATTCAGTACTTACTTAACACTAATAATAGCAGTACTTTCTATTTGATTCTAATGAATGTGAGACTGGCATGAAGCACTAGAGATGAATAGTTAAACAATAGTGTATAAATTTCTTCTACCCATAAATAAAGTAATATAAATTCCCAGTAACTCCTGTGATATTGTTTCCATAAAGGGATTTGTATTTCATAACTCTTGATAAGTTGTTTACACTTCAATAAACTGATTAATGCTTTTGGTATTCAGAATAAATTAAACTTAAGTTATCCTTTATCTACTGTTGCCTGCTAAATACATTTTTAGAATGTATAAGACTGGGTGCTCTACATGGCATTCCAGAGATACCTTACCTCTGCAAATATCTGTAGTAGTCTGCTTATTTGAGCAAAGGCCTGTGGAAGAATACCATCATAATTTGACCTTATACTAAAAGCGTGTAACAAGCTTTTAGAATCTTGAAGCAAGAATTTCACAGTTGTAAAGTCCACTGCATTATTAGCTGGTAAGAAAAAGTTAAGAATGAAAAATATGTAAAAATGAGTATAAAACACAAAATGACATTGGAACACTAATATAATTTTTAAATTTAAAAAGAGTATATATTTACACCTACATACCACTCCTAATTTATCCCTCTGGTATAAAAAGCAACAAAGAGATTTAGTTATAGACAAAGTCCTTTAAGTCTAACATATTTATATTCAGGAGTTCCCTCAACACAAACAACTTCAAAGTAAAATGACCTAATACCACACAAGAGATAACCACAAGTCAAACCACAAACTTTCAAAGCTGAAGCTCTTTCTTCCTTCTTCTGTTGTTTTCGGATTGAGACAGGGTCTTACTACGTAGTTCAGGCTGTCAAAGGTAGCCTTGAACTCATCTATAATCCAAACTGTCTTTGAACCCATGGCAATCCTTCTGCCTTGGCCTCTTGTGTGCTGGGATTATAGGCATTTGCCACCATGCCCAGCCTAAGGCAGTTTCACACTCAGATTACTATAAAGACGTTAGAAAAGTCACACATTAGTGGCAAGCAGGAAGGTTCTGGTCTGTCATAATCAACTCAGTTACCATGTAGTGATTTCCCTCAATTCCATTACATGAGATTTAATATTATACTTGTTGAAAATAATGTTATCTCTGTGTGTGCAACAAGACTTCAATAAAAATAAAGAATTTGGGGAGCAGCAAGAAGCAAAATAAGCTAGCAGAATACTTTTTCCTGTAAACTAGTGAGATAATCTACAAATGATATTTTTAAAGTGTAATAATTTTATCTCAAGAAGCTAAAAATACCTACAATAAATGCTCAAGACTAGCTGGGAAAGGTGCTGAAAATAATTTCAAAGATTTAAAAAGTTATGAACAATTAAACTAAGTAATTTCTAATGCCACAAATCTCAGAACAGAACATTTCCATTTTAAGGGATAAGGCTACATAATAGTTTTCAAAAGCAACAAAACCACACTACAATGTGTTTGCTTTGTTTCTATTTTAATGTTCACAATGTCAGGGACAATCATATTCTCAAATATGAACACGATTCTTCATTGGTACTATGAGTTAAAAATAAACCATCCTTGTGCATTACTTACACAAGCAGAACTTTGCCAGTGAAACACTGAAGGTTAAATGAAATTTTGAAATTACGTTTTCATAATTATTTCCTCAATATTCAGAAACTCTAATGGAATGTTGTTTTTACAGCCAAACTTCTATCTTACTTTTTTACCCCTCATCCCCTCCTCCAATCCAGTATACTTCTTTACAGGAACACTTTTATTTCTTTTTAAAGCCAGTAACTAATTTGAATTCCTGTGCAAAGAAATAAGATATACTAAATGTGGGACAGATTGTAGATACAGTGAGCCTCATAGATCTCTTGAGGAAGACATTGGGCACAACTTCTTTTAAAGGTATTTCTCCCATGCAGTCTGTGTAGTTACACTTATATGCTTGAATCAATCATTTTATTTCTGCCTTTAAAAAATTCTTTACTAAGATTAAGGGGAAAAGGGGAATAAATATGATAAATTCAGGACAGAGATACCTAGCTGGGCATGGTGGGGGGAGGGGGAGAGAGAGATCAACATTCTTAGAGGTCAAGGCAAGTGATCCCAAGTTTGAGCCTACCCTAGGCAATTTAGTGACTTAGTGAGACGGTCTCTAAATACAAAATTTTAAAAGGGCATGGAATGTAACTCAATGTGAAGGTCCTGGTTTCAACCCCTCAGTACAACAAAAAAGTAGGAAAAAAAAAAAAAAAAAAA